AGCATTACATATAGTCCCTAAAGACTTTTTCCTAATTTTATATGAATGTCATTATTTGCACGATACAAACTTACACACAGAATAATTTTAAAGTGGCATTTATGTCTATTGCCATTTTTCTATAAAGATCCTAGACCAAGCATTTTATTCAGACATTTATCGCCCAATTTAGCTCCTAAATACCTTTCACTGGCTTTACACTAATTACTATTATCCTCGCAGTGCGCATAAAAGAACAGCAAAGTGTTCTAGAAGTTATGTTCATAGTTATTTTTCTACAATTAGATATTCAGCTGTAAGTTATTGGGTTTCCTTTAAAGTTCTGACGGTAGTCTTAATTTTCCCGTAGCACGGAACTAGATGAGAGATAAAAGTCGTAATATACATCATCGGTTAAGAATATAGCCTAGGCGAAGTGAAGTGTAGTCGAAACATTTTCTAAGCATCGTGTTAAAACTCGCTTTGTTAACAGTGAAATATGTATACGTTGGTACCAGCAGTTTGGTGACGAAAAGCCTGGTGAAAATGGAACTTTAAACAAAGGATAGAACGTTTGTCCCAGAACTTTGGCAAAGTCTAATGGCAAGAAGAAGAGCGCTTCGCGACACCTACATTCAAGGATAGAAATGAAGGAAATATTACCCAGCGTGTTCGTCATTTTATTAAACAAAGGGTTAGCCAACGAGCGTGCCTTTGTCTGCTAATGTCTTTGCCAATGGGTATAATTCTGGTGAAAACTGGGAACGACTAAATCTAGTTGGATATGAGAGACCTATCCTTTTTCAAATACCTCGTCGATTATGATTATATAGGATAGAACTTTTACAATTAAGAATAAAATAAAATATGCGAAGTATCACGAAACAAAAGTAAATTTCATATAATTATGCGTTTGAAATTTTATACTGTAAGAAATTATTATACGAGGCTTTGGTACGCGGATAGAAGCATTTTCGCTGTTGTACTCAGTGTCCATGACCATAACCATGGCTCATTTAAATTTAAGTTGAGATACGTACAAAGTATCAATTGTCATCGAAGTGTTGATGACCGTTTTGTTAGTATTAGATCGAAATATATTCGAGTGTGTTGACATCCTTTATGATGAGATTATAGATCGAAATGCGTCCGACTTTATCGACAGAGAAGCAACTCCAAATCGACCTCTCGTTGAAATCAATCACATTGATAGGTTATGTTTTAATTTTACGGTTTTATGTTTTCTCATCCCCTCTATATTCCTTTATACCTTACTTTTATATTTTACATTGTGAAATAATTGCTTAAATTTTAAATAATACACGCTAATATATATTGACTAATATATTATTATATATTCAAATTAAAATACAATTAATTAACAAAAAATAATATATATCAAAGTTAAGTCTGATATTTTGTCGAATTCTAACATACGTCAGCTAGCCTTTCTTGACACCTCGCAATATAAAAATTTGAATATTCGTGACTTAGTAATTAAAAAAAAAAGAAAAATAAAAGAGGTAAAAGAGAAAATGTAGAAATCTAACTGAATGTCGTGATCATATTATGGAAAACTAGACAAAAAGAAGAATTTTGTATATTTCAAATTTGAATTTTGAATAAAAATTTCTGTTGATACCTGTAAAAACATTAATGGCTGACAGATGAAAAATAATTACATTCCTAGCTTCTCATCTAAATAATTTTTCAAAAATATAATATTTCTAGGGTATTGTACTGACTGGACTATATATTTATATCTGCACGCAATTAAAATCATATCAAGAAGCACATTTTAGTTTCATTGTAATAGAAAAAATATATTCTTGCTTACAAAGTGATAGTTTAAAAATTCACTTGACTTGAAAATGGCTAATAAAAGTAAATGCCTTGTGTAATCTGGAACTTTCTCGCGCCTCTCTCGTAATAAGTTTCCTTACACAGCTGGATATAATAAAAATATCCGTACTTCAACTATCTGTGTCTGCTTCGATATTCACGATGGGATTTCGCAGACGAAGACTCTCTTTTCTTCCTTCATTTCGATTTGTCTCCTATTTCGTGATGTTAGGACGTCGATCGGCGACACTGTTGAATAAAGAACAGCGTCTTCGATAGCAAGCAATTTAAATTTTACGGGGACGAAAGAAAGTTTATTATTCAGGCGAAAGTTGACAGCTACAGCATATTCCAATATCTGGAAGAGGTCGAGGATCATCGACCCCGTGAAGCATAACGTTCATATAGTTATCCCTTTTCTTAATGTAAGCTAAAATTGATGGTCGTAAGTAAAGTATATTTAGTTGTGTGAAATTCCTGTGATCAATTCTTCCAAGCACCGTTGCAGGATGGGTAACACTGGTTGTGAAACGTGTATCTACCACTTTATGCTTCAATAATTTACGATGATTGTGTTAATGTTCTGTATACAGGTCCTGCATGATTTTATTTGCAATAGACTAATTTTATTAACGAATAAAATACTACATTGTTGTTAAAATATCAATTTTTCAGAAGCTAAATTGATTAACCCTATTTTTTTGTAAATTTCTATTTATTGGATTGGCCAATAAGCAGTGTCAAATTTTTTTGTGACACAAAGCAATATTTCTAATTTAGAACATATAATCACAAGCTAGTTAGAATTATTTGTTATAAATTAAAAGTGTCAATATTATATTAATAAAACTATAAAAATGCTAAAAATACCGACTTCTGGACAATGTAATACAAATAAATTTCTGAATTTTATATTTTCCTCTTTGGAAATTTTTCACGTCTATTTTTTATTTCCTATAGAATTTTAAAAAAAAGATAGGGACAAAAATTACATTTCTGTAAGTTTATTTATCACAAAAGGATTCGCAAATTCATTGTAAATTCGAAAATAAACTTTACAAAGAATTTTCTATGGAATATCACATAAAAAGATGTGACTATTAATTGCTATTAACGTGTTTAATAAATAATTAAGATTTATATTATAATTTGGAAAAAATATGTCTGTATAATAAAATATTAATTGTATTATATTTCTATATTCAAAATTGTCACATATTTTTTAATTAGACGCGAATTATGAATTTGTAAATCTTTTTTAAAATAATATCTGAAAATGTTTTTACATTATAAAATTCTTTATTGGAAGATTCCAATGGTATTATTAAAAAAAATTGTTTGGAGGTTAACTGTCAGCTGTGGCAAACATTATTGTACTTTCCTGATCTTTCCATTTCTGTGACGATAACTTCGTATCTGAGAGGACCTTAATCAGAATAATATAGGACGTCACTTCGTTTACCTTCAGGGCAATCAACAAGAAGGCCGTTTATTATTACTTTGCGTCTTCACTGCATATTAATGAGCCGCAATTGATCTTCAGTTTTCTTTCCCATCACAATTAAACCGATTTTCATAATCCCTTTCTAAACTTACTTTAATAATCTACTCAACTTTTCAATTTATGTGCGTTGACTTAAGATGATAAAGACCGAAATCTTGCTGCAACTTCAGTACGGATTTATAATGAAATTAAAATTTTAAGAAATTATCGGGAAGTTGAAAAAAAAATCTAACATGTTGTATAATAACTGCATTGTTTTACTAAAAATGAGATACAGCGATTTTTATTCCAATAATTATATGTACCGTTTTACAGTCTTGAACGCTGGTAAAAGATATGTGAAAGGAGAAACGTTCCTATAATAATAAGCACACATAAATTGAAAAAGAAACAACAAACACTTAATGCAAAAAATATAAAAACTCTCAACAGGATTAACATGAGAAAAATTCTAATTAAAAAAGAAAAAGAGAAAAAATATAATGTATTAATTTAGATGGTTCAGTTTAATTATAAATAATTATTGTTTTCATAACAATTTTACCGACGGAATGTATTTCCGCTAACTTTTTAAATACATATTATTATGTGTGACGTCCCCTTTATTCTATCCACTCGTTAAATAAATTTCAAAAATAAATGAAATGAATAAATAAACTTCTATATTAACATATAAATTACAGACACGACTAAATTTTTACTTATTATCGTTAATGATTTCATACAGTAACTTGAAGCCAAGAATATGTGTATACGTATACACGTTTATGTATATATGTATATATGTATACACGTATACGTATCGTGTCCTTCTTATTCGTTATTGCAAATTAACATGGCGGTGAAAGAACGATTGTCCGAGGAGCAATCATCGATATAAAATGAATTAAATTAATTAACGTCGATCGACAATTTATTTCCTACAAATAATAGCCTTTAATTCGAATGAACTCGTAAATATTAATTCCCGTAACTTCAAACGAATATTTCGCGTCTTCATACAATAAGCATTAAAAAGTCGTTCGACGTTTCCCGGCATTTTTCGTGTATCATCGTAAACGACCAAGATGTCTGCCACAGGCTGACGCAATCTCTCGTGTTCCAAAAAATAATTAAAAACTTACTCGTTTTACTGCCTGCTCGCTGGCTGTCAACGTTCGACTTTGTACCTTGAGGTTAAGTTTCAGCGTGTAATAAGGTGTATGTACGTCAGCGGGTGAACTTCATAAACGAGCATACATACGTAACGCCTGTAACGCCTTTTACCAGTGCTTGCTCACTTCACCACACTTTTTTCCCCGCGACCGGTATTGCAAACCTCTCAACACCTTCGCGACGAACGACGGTAGCCGTGTATCTTAAGAAAACTTTCGAACGCGCGCTCAACGTGCATGATGTAATATTCGTGCAAACTCGCGTAACAGAGACAACGTGTATGTTCATCCCGGTTATACGATGCGAATATACGACACGAACGGTTTGACTTAGGTAGAATCGTCGATCTCGCACGCTATTCGTCGGCGAAACACGTCATACGATCGTCTCACCGTGCGTCCACGCTATTGGTCGCGATCGGCTCGCGAATAGCGTCGACGTTAGCGTGGAACTTTCGAGAGTAGGCAATAGCTTATAGCGAACTAGTCAGGAGGAGTTAATACAACGAGCCTGATCGCGATCCAGTTCGTTAGTTCACGTCGCGTTGGGGTGTGTTTCGGTGAATTTGACAATCATTTCGTTTTCGAACTTTAGTTTGTGTGACATTTGTGACCCACGAGCATCGACATGGAGTGGAATGTTTTGAAAAGTGCTATTAGTCCCCCAGGTATGTGCGAATTTTACAGAAATTTTGGAGCATATCTTTTTCGAACTTTTAACATGACCGTTATTCGGTACGTGTGCAACGTCAATGGCGAAATATACGTAACCGTCAAACGAACGATTTTATATATGCTTGCGTTTTATTTGCGAGATGCTTTTGGAGTTTTATTATGTATTGTTTTCCTTCGAGAGTAGTAAATATTTGAAACACTTTGTATACAATTTTGACAAGATTAAATATGTTTCTATAGCGAACATATTTGCGAAAAATTAATGGCGGAATTTTCTCTTATCGTGATCTTTATCCATCATGGCGTCCAATACACGGCATTCGAAATTAATATTATATTCGTTACGTAACTTGCTCCAATCCTTTACGAAAATGTTTTCGTAGTACATTTTATGACTATTTTGTGACGTAATATTACTGAAATCTTCTGAAAATGTAGTAATTTTACATGACAAATCATTAAATTTGAATAATTGTTAATAATTTAATACGTTATTATATGCATGTGTGGTAAAATAATGAAGCACTCGTGTCCTACATAACCAACGTATCTTTTATTTAATGAATATTATCATTATCGAACAAAAAGCATCGAAACTCTTTCACTTGCAGAAATAATTCTTTCGAAGACATAATCATTTGAGTATTGCGTAAACTCGGTGTTTCAACGTAATATAATACAGCGCTCCCTCAATTTACGCAGTGCTTTCTTTACGCGAGTTTCCTCTTTACGAGGTAAATGAGAACACAATTTACACGGTAGTTTTTATACGCGATCTTAATTTACGACAGACCACGTTAGCTCGGCAAGAGTTTTATAAACAATCAGTTGCCGGAGGACATCGGTTGGGGCTAGCGGCAGAAATGAAAACAGAGCCGAAACGTTGAGACGTGCCGGGCGAACGGCTAGCATGACCTCATTACTGATGGACTTTGTTTACGCCATTTTCATTCCCCGGAAACGAACGTGGAACGGATACGCCGCGTAAGTTCAGGGACGGCTCTATACGATTATATTTTTATTACAAGCGTTCTACAAAGAAGTTGTCGGCATATCGAAATTTATATCAAATCACTTTTCTGACGATCTAAAATTCAACTCTTGTTCGAATAACTCGTTCATACCGGCGTGTACCACCGGTGGCTCTCACTTAAATGTTATATCTATGTGGCTGCTCTGCGCGCGTCGACCGTTGGAAAGAAACACGAATTGCAGCGCCGGCGTGAACGTGTAATTACCAGTGACGTCGCAATTTAAAATGAGACGAGGTCCAAAAGCCGCTTTCCCCAATCCTTAAATTCCAGTCGCGATGCAACGGATGAATGTCGCTTGATTCTTAGATGACACGAAGATTTGAATAAAAAGGCGAAAGATAGAGAGGACGAGATCGGGGTAGAGAAATAAAAAGAAAAAAGGGAGCCGATAGAAGGTAAAGGAGAACCGAGCGTTCCGTAGCGGAACATGAAGGGGGTGAAGAAGGGACGTGTCGCGAGTGACAGGTCATTTTCCGGAGCAGAGCACCCTCTCGTCGCGTGCGACCTCCCCTCGATCGGCTCCAACCCCTTCGTGTTCGCTCTAAGGATCACGGGGCTATCCTAACTCTTCCCCTTCGAACAAGCAATCCTCGATATCTCGTTCGCCGAATTCGAGCCCGCAATAACGCGCCTATACCAATATCTAATTTGATCTCCGTTCGGGGAGCGCTCTGCCCCCTTCACGCGTGTGTATACACCCCTGCTCTGCGATAGTCCCACCTGCATACGGATTTTAGTTTTCTACGCGTGGGATGAATTATTCTACGCCTATGTATTATATATTTTGTGTACGTTACTATCCGCAAATTATTATACTCTTAAAAATTAATTAATTCGCTTTCTTAAATACAAGTATTTCAGTATATCTTTCGAGATTGCATAAGTTTCAAAATCATTTTATTCTTATAAATTATTCCCGTATAATAATATAATTAGAAATAGGTAAGCAATATTTTCAAATTATTATTTATTTATTATTAAATTATTACCATCTATTTAATAATAAATATTTAATATTAAAATGATTACCAATAGTAATTCTAGCTGAATTACTATAATATAATAAATAATTATTTTAGTCCACTTTGCATTAATTTTATTCGAAGCATTATATACTGTGTGTTTGAATTCAATCTCTTTTAATTCTGCTGTTGACAAATTTTATTAACAAGGAAATTTGTAATTTCATTGTTATACGTGGAGAAAGAGATAATTAATAATGTATTTTTCTCTTAAATTTTCATCCTTTTTTCAGATAGGGTTGGTGCATGAATTATAATAATGTAAAGAAATCGTCTTTATATCGTGGTATAAATTTTATATCGTTGCTTCTGGTTTGATACTTGTTGCTCTCTTGTAAAATGTATTTTTTATTCCTGCTCACTTATCGTAAGGGTAGTTGGGTAGCGGCATGCATAAACTTTAAACTAATTTCTCATTAGACAGCATGTATCCGCTTCGTTAACATAATTTCGATCCATTCTATCTCAACAAGACGTTCCAACACCGGTACATGCATAATTTTTAATTAACTTTTAATAAATAGTGGCCCATGATACTAGCCATTTTTAAAATTCAGATCGTCGTATCAGGCAGTGCTTCGTACATGCACGTTGTCGCGAACTTAATAAAGGGAAACTTCGAGGCACTTGCAGAATTTTGAAAACACAATTACTTTACGTAACAACGTGTACGCGAAATACCCGAAGGACTTTCGCATTGATTACGGAAATTCTCATTTGTTGTGAGCAAATGAAATTCCACCTAATTAAATGGTAAAACTTTCGACTGATCTAATATCATCGTTTCTAGAAGAGTTCTATAACTTCACCCTCGGGCTGTCGGTGGGTGGTGTTGGGGGGGGAGGCGGCAAACTTGAATTTCAGTTTTAATTAACTCCCATTTCTCAAACGGACGTACAGTTTAATGCCAATAAATAAGGTCGTCGTATTCATAGTTTTCCACGTGCAAGTGACGGAAACAAATTGTGATATATACCGGTAATGTTTTTCTTAACGGCTATTATGTGGAGTCCGCCTCGGGAGTAAAATGGATTCACGGCTCCTAGTACTAGTGGCGCGCTCTGCAGGGCGGTGAATCTTCGTTCCGTTGGAAAAAGCCACAATGGGCGCGAGCAATCGCTTAAGTGCAGACCGCGGTTTGTCCACGCGATTTCGAGTGAAGAGGCCGGTATTCGTGTCCCTTTACAAATAGGAACAAGCACGGATGGGTCTCGAACTGTTATGTAATTAATAAATTATACCGCGACGATTGCGTAAAACGTGTACACAATGCTTCACGTGGCGAAAGGGTGGGGTTGGGAGGGAGATAAAAGGCGAGTGCGGATATGAAAACAAAGGCTATAGGCGAATGGTATAAAAACGGGAAACGAAAGACGGCGATATAATAAGAAAAGGACAAAAATGGTCGCGGTTGAGGGGGCGGGGTGGAGGGGGGGAAACGGGAAACCACAGAGGATAAAAAGAAAGAAAAATAAGCTCTACGAATGCGCTGCATGAATAACATGCATTTATGCAGTGCCGACGCAATATGTAAGAAGTCTTCCTCTTCTTATCCATGAAGGACCAGGGAAACGCGACGGAGCCTCCATATTTTAGGGGACACGACAAAGTGCTCGACCCACGTCCCACTTCCTCTCCACGTAGCCTATGCATTTATGCAATGACGGGATAATTTCGCGCCTACGCCCATGCGACATCACGCTCGATTTCCTCTTCTTTGCTCGATTTTCGGCGAAAGCGAAAAATACGAGAATATCTTCCTCTCCTCCTCTATGTCCAGACGATTTATTATTAATACTGCCCCCTTCTGATTTCCAATTTCGTTTATTTCGTTATTAAAATGTACAATCCTCACTTTCATCGCTGTAGCAAACTTTGGACCTTGTTTTAAAACACTTTTCATTAACTATAATTAATACTTAGGATTAAATATAGCTTTATTAACTGGCATAATATAGTACTCTTTCTTGGGTCGAATTAAATCAATTCATTTAAATTGCAAAGAGTTTCGAGTTATGCAAGTTCAGATATTTTTGCGTCCGACTGTACATGTTGGAATTATATCTGTGAATTGGAACATTAGATGGAAGGAATCAATTAATCCTTTCGCTGTTCTACCATCATCTGAGATCTCGCTGTTTTTCTCATACGACATACAACATATAAATTATATTATACTTCTTTATTCATTTCGTAATAAATTTTATTAAATTGAATGATATAAAATTCGAAATATTTCTCTCACCGAGTATTTCAATTTTGTTGAACAGCAGAAGGATTAATTGATTCCTTCTGTCTAATGCTCCAATTTTAAAATATTACTACTTACGTACAATCAGTCACAAAGATAATTTGACACGTATGGTGTAATGTTTTATGATCTTTAATTAATTCTGTCTGGAACAAATACTTCCATAGGCCGGATATTATTGTTATAGGATAAATTGCGAAAGTGAACCAGAGCAAACAGCTATTTTTCAGTCGAGTTTACGTAGTACCAAAATTCCCAGCTGCCGACTGTTTCAATCACACTGTTCCCAACTGTTTAAGTTATGCGTGGCTGCTCACGCAGTTTGCGATCATTCGCCAAAGTTTGCATAACAATTGAAAACGTTTACCTAATAATATTAAGCTGCAACGATGTACACCGCGTACGACCTACTTCACGTATTGCTATTCAATTCATGAGAAATTATTAATGCATTCAGCCTCTTCCAAAGATCGAACTTCATTATTGAACATAGTTTTTATCGACTATGGAGATAAGTGGAATTTTAATGAACTCTTTTTTCCCATACACTCGTGTTCAGGTAACTTCGATAAGTTCTGAAATATCAATTTTGCAAATCAGTAGAGAAAAAAATTAAAAATGGTAATTAGAAATGGATGTATATTTTCAACTCGATTAGTATGATATTTTCAATCTTTACTATTCGT